AACAATAAGAATCAAGTCTAAAACGTAATAAATAATCCCAAAGTAAGTAGTAAATAGTATAATGCGAAAGTAAAACCAACACAGCCCGATACCAGGGTGTCACTAGTCATGAGCATCTACAATCCGGATGATACAAGAAAAGTCTACATAGTCTAATACAAATCTAAAACAGAGGAAGATAAGATAAAGGAAGAAGCTCTGGGCTAGGAACGCCGGCAGCTACCTAGAAAAACTTCGAATCCGCCTGAGCTAGAAAGATCAACAATCGCTAGTGGATGCGCCTGAATCTGCACATGGGTGCATGGAGTAAAGTGAGTACTCCAACTCAATGAGTAATAATCATAAATAAAGACTAAAAGCAAGAAATCACGTAAGGCACATTATAGGCTATAAGGAAGCAGTAAAAGCCAGTAAAATAATGAAGCAGTAAAGATGTGTAAAATTGCCGAGTTCAGTTTAAAACTTCAATAAATGCCTTTTAACAATTAAGCAAGAAAATGACAGGCAAATAGGAAAGATAAACACATAAAGAATCGCCCCTTGGGCACAGTGTCAACAAATCTGCCCCTCGGGCAATAACTCAGAAACAATACTATCCCCTCGGGCTATATCTCACATCACAATGGTACCTACGCTCACTGGGGGTGTGCAGACTCCTGGAGGGGCCCCGTACGGCCCAAGCGCAGTATCAAGCCATCTCATGGCTTCATCACTAGGCTCTCGACCTCATATCAACAAGCCACCTCGTGGCGTACAAATCTCAAGCTCTCGACCTCATAATCATAATCCGGTGTTTCCTCACAACATAGGCCCTCGGCCTTACTCAGTTAAAATTCTCTCAAGCATTAGGGCAATAGTAAAATATGATGCTCAGCTCAAAAGATCATTTAAAATCTCATTTAAGTGTTAAAGCAGAGTAAACATGGCTGAGTTATGAAAACAGTAGAATATAGCATGACTGAGTTCAAGTATAAAGTCAAAACAGTGAGGAAATATCAGTAAAAATCCCCTAAGGGTTCAAATAGTTGGCACGATGCCCAAATATAGCATTCAGTCCAAAATATGAAGATAGCAAACAATTTTCAATCAAATATGTGGTAAAATAGTCATTCGGGATGGACTAAGTCACAATCCCCAACAATGCACGGCCCCACGCTTGTCATCTAGCGTGTGCGTCACCTCAATATAGCACAACAATGTGTGCAATTCAGGGTTTCATACCCTCAAGACATCATTTAAAATCATTACTCACCTCAACTCGGTCAAATCTCTAGCCCGCGACGCCTTTGCCCCTCGAATCGTCCTCCACTCGCATCGAATCTATCCAAAATCAGAATCACGACGTCAAAATATGCTAAGGGAACGAAGCCCAAGCGAAAATAATCAATTTACAACTTAAATCCCGAAATTTCCAAAACCCGACCCCCGGGCCCACATCTCGGAATTCGATAAAATTCACATCAATAGATTCCTCATCTCCCCACGAGTTCATACATATCAAAAGTACCAAAATCCGACCACAAATGGTCCCTCAAATCCTCAAGTCTAGGTCTCCAATACCAAGCCCTAGTTTCCCCAATTTTAACCCTTAAATTCCATCACCTATAGCTCTAATCCGTGAAATAATACCATAGGAATGAATTTTAGGTCGAAAATCCTTACCTCAATGAAGTTCCCTTGAATCCTTCTTCAAATCGCCCAAAAAGCTCCAAAGACCGACTTAAAAATGGTGGAATAGCTCAAAAATTGCGAAGGAAACAATTTATACTTTCTAGCCCAGGGATTCCGCACCTGCGGACAAATCGTCACTTCTGCGGCACCGCTTTAGCGGTTAATAGACCGCTTCTGCGGTCATCACTTAAACGACCACTTTTCGCTTTTGGGATCCTTTTCTCGCACTTGCGCTATCGCAGGTGCGGCTCCTCAGCCGCTTCTGTAGCCCCAGCCTTCCTAGGCCCCTTTTCACTTTTGCGGCCCGCTTCCACACATCTGCAACATCGCACCTGCGGTCCCTAATCCGCAGGTGCGGAAACAACAGAAGCAGAAAATCTACAGCTTCACCAAAACTCCAAACTCCCCGTCAACCATCCGAAATCACCCCGAGGCCCCTGCGATCTCAACCAAAAGCACAAACATATCCCATAACCTTATTAGAACTTATACCATCTTCAAAACACCTCAAACAACATCTAATCAACCAAAATATATCGGATTCAAGCCTAAGTTTCCAAAATCTTCCGAATTACGCTTTTGATCAAAAACCCAACCAAACCACGTCCGAATGACCTGAAATTTTGCACACACATCCCAAATGGTACAACGGAACTACTGCAACTCTCGGAATTCCATTCCGACCCTTATATCAAAAGCTCACCTATCAACCGGAAATCGCCAAAAATCCAATCTCGCCAATTCAAGCCTAAATCTACTCCGGACCTCAAAAACTCATTCTGATCATGCTCCTAAGTCCCAAATCACCTCCCGGAGTTATCCAAACCATCAGAACTCACATCCAAGCCCTCTAACACATATGTCAACTTCCGGTTGACGTTTTTAACTTAAGCTTCCCCAAAAGAGACTAAGTGTCTCAAACCTTACCAAATCCTTTCCGAACCCAAGCCAACCAACCCGATCACTCATAGAACCAATAAAAAAAGCAATAAGAAGCAAAAATTGGGGAAATAGAGCAGTAACTCAAGAGACGACTGGCCGGGTCGTCACACTACTGTTCCTGCATGGCCTGGTTTAGTATGTGATTCATGTGTGGGGATAGAAGGTGTAGGATACTGTTGATCCATGATTGATTGGTGTAGTTGTTCATTTCTATGTGCATTTCTTCTGATATTAGTTGGGCTAGGTAACGGGTATTCTGGATTATTATTACCATCTCCTGGGCAGTGATTTGGATATTGAAGGTTATTATATGTACTAGAATGTCTGCTTTTAGCCAAGAAGTCAGTTGGTAATTTGAGATTGAGGGGGGGGGGGGGGGGGGGATGTGAAGAATAGTGGTTGATTATGTAACTGTGGTGTCATGGGTGGAAGGTTGTCCATCGGAGGGATTCTGTATTGTTTTGGTATGTGAACTAGCCGAAACCTTCTCCTAGTTGTGAGTGGGAGTCTTGGCATTCTCTTCTTGTGGGTTATATATTTGGTTAGTGTTGGTAATAGGATTAGTAGCTTGCCTAAGGTTCTTGATTTCTATAGATTTCTTTGGCTGCATACGAGGTAATTGACTTGGCGTGTGAGAATATATAAAAAAAATTGTGGATTTTGTTGTTGCTAGGTGCTTTGAGTAATCTGTCATTTGATCATTCTCCTTTGCATGCATGTCCATATGTAATGTTGATGATGTATGGATAGTGGTAATATCCGATTTAGGATTTGTTATTTCCTTTAGTCTAGAGGTAGCCAAGTAATTACAAGTTTTGTTTTTAGTGGAAGCTTCATCTAATGATTGGGGTGCGGTTTCAAGATGTCATTAGTCTTGGACACATGTAGGAGTTTGTCTTTTCTGCTTTGCATACATTGGGCATTTGAGGTTATGGACAAATTTTTTGCTAAACCATTTTCGAAAACCATGGGCTCTTCATCCTTATTTTGAAGAATCTCAAAAATATTATTAGAATTTTGGCCAACATTGGAGGAGATGATGTTAGTGTTAGAGTTTTTGTCTGTGTATTGTCTAACTTTTGAGTCAGTAGCCGGTGTATTGGAGAGATTGTTTCACATATATTTAAATTTAGGAAAATTAAACTTTTGAGAATTAGAAGACATACCTATATCAGTATCATTGAGTTTTGGACGTGTACCTGGATTGGTTACCTTAGCAATTGGGATTTGCTTAACTTCAATAGACTTCTTTTTCTTGTTAAAGGAGATAGTCACACAATTACTTTGAGTGTCTTGTTTTGGGATATCTGCTGGACTTCCTTGTTTCTCACTGGTATTGGGAGGTGATAAATGCACTGAACATTTTGATTGGTTGTGGCCTAATTTACCACAATTGGTGCATAAAAAGTTTTCACCCTCATAATGTTATGTTGTTTATAGCTTCCAATGTAAACAAAAGGCGTAACCGGTTTTTCCATGGATACTTCAACACATAGTCGAGCATACCTACCTCTAAGAGTAGAGGAAGTACAAGCATCAATCCTAAGTAATCTGCCAATGGTATTACCAATTTTTTGTAAAATGGTAGAATCATAAAATTCAGTAGGGAGTTGGGGAAGACGAACCCAAACTGCTGATTTTAATTGTCTTGCCTCACTGGCTACAAATTGTGGCTCCCATTTTTGGACTAATAAGTGGTAACCATTAATAAACCATGGTCCATTACTGAGGGATCTGGACATATTTTCCTCCTTATTGAATTTTACGATGAAGTAATCAGCCTCTAGGTCCATAAGAGTGAAGTTTTCATTTGGTTTCCACAACTGATGTAGTTTTCTCTTTAGTGGGACTTGTAGGTTATCATTAAGATCTTGGATTGCTTGGGAGCAAATATTTTGGCTAGGCAAGTCTTGAAATTGGCAGTCTAGTTGCATAGGGTATCTTGAGTAGTAATTGGATCTAGTGCCGGTTGAGAAACCTGAATATTGATAGAGTCCAAAAGGAGAATCTTCTTACATGATGAGTTGTGGTGTTGGGGTATTTTTGCTAGTGTAGTCGTTGAAGAATTATTTTCTTCATCAGCATGTTGATTTTCCCTACACGGTGTTGACGTAGGTGAATTAATACTTTCATTTCCATGAAAGATATCCAGAGGTTTAGGAGGAATTTGAGAAGATTGATGATCAGAGGGTGGGGAGTTGTCCATTGCTGCTATGGAAATGTTGAGGAAGAAAGTAGTGAGAAGGTAGACCTTCTCACTCTCGGTTATTCCAGCTTTTGATGGTTCCGACATTGTGTGTAAGTTCAATTCATTAGTCTTTTTCCCCTTCCCCTTCCCAAGCATCCAATGTAATGGGAAAAATTTCAAAAGAAAATGCAAATAGCAATTTCTTTGCAATATACCACACAATCAAACTCTACCATACTCAATATGTAGTATTAATACAATACAGTTCGTTTTTCTTTTCCTTCAAATCAGGCATTAACTTGGCCTAGAAATTCTAGAAACGAGTTAATAAATACATTCAAACAACACAAGAAAGTATTTTTCATCTTTACGCGCCCATGCAATTGAAGCTCTAAAAATCATTCCTCAAATCCTCATCCCTACACAACCATAAAGAAAGTAAAATGGG